ATTATGAGGAATGGTCCGGTTACAGTAAAATGTAAAACCCATTACTTATGGGNTTATCTGAAAGTGTCCTGTCTTGATTATTTTGGATAATTGATGTTCTTTTGTATTCATTTATAAATAGAGGATTTGATAGTGCAATTAAAATTTCTTTTATCAATTTGAAATGTGATTTATATTTAAAGTAATTCTGTAAATAGTCAGAATTAGGGTTTATTTTGGTTTAATTTTAGTGAATTTCATTGGCAGGCATTATGAAAATTTTTTAAGTTCTGAAATTTTCTGAAGTGGACAAACAAAACAAGAAAAATAATTGATTATTGTTTATATTTTATACATTTTTTTAATTTTATGATTTCTTTTTAGAAACTGTTCTCCCATTATTTTGAATCAATTTGAAGATGATATTAAATTATTTATATTAAATTGATTGATTTCTTCTGATTTTGATTTTGATTACAGAAATTGATTTCTTCTGAAAATTTTTGAGATGTAAAAATATAAAATGTAATAAATTAAACTGCAACTTGAAAATATTACATAAAAATATTCTTGATTAATGAATTGAAAGAGCTAATAATTCAACTTTAAAGTCATTATTGAGCTGCAATTTGAAAAAAATTGTAGACCTATAAATTCCGACTGTCATCCATCTGTCTTTCCTTAATCTCAAGAATGGTATTAGATAAATAAAATTCAAGATCATGGAAAGCTTAGGGGTAGGAGGCCCTATATATGAACTTAAAAAAATTGAACTCATGTTATTTCAATTCAAAACTTTTTCTCTGAAAGCAGTTAATTAATAGATGACCAGCAAGACTCCATTGCTAATGGAAAAGTATGATGTACAGGGGCAAGACACTACAGTACTAATTTGAGGTGGAGAGCATATATTTTAAATTAAATAAATTAAAAATATGATTAATTTATCCCAGCATTATGATGATGTCACAATAATTGTTATTTTTTAAAATCTAACTTTGGTATAATTTTGATAGAAATAATTTAAAAATACAAGTATTAAGTAAAGTAATTAAATTTTATGTTTTCAGTATTAAAGAAGTTTTCATGAAATTTTGTAAACAATTTTGATATAGTAAATATTTTAAAAAAAATTATTTTTAACTAGGCTTATCATATATCTATTTCATACTTTGTGAATTTCTATCTGTCTTATATATAATATCAATTAAATTAAATTATCCACAACCGTGAGGCAGATAATAGTGAGGGCTTATCAGACTAAATGATGGGCACAAACGCTCAGAGATCAAAGTGAAAACAATTTAATAAACTTGTTTTTGTTGTTTTGTTTTCACTGTTGTTTGTTTCCAATTGTTTTCACTTTGATCTCTGAACGTTTGTGCCCATCATTTGGTCTGATAAGCCGTCACTATTATCTGCCTCACGGTTGTGGATAATTTAATTTAATTGATATTATTATATCAAGGGCTAGAAGCAACTTTTGTCTTATATATGTTTATTATGAATACAATATAAAACAATAGAAATTTACAAACTATAAAAAGTGTAATTTGTATTTACACAGTGATGTTTTTAAGACTACTTATTTATTTATTCTGTATAATATTACTTTTAATAAATATTAATGCTTATTTATAAGCATTTACAACATCCTTTCTCAAAATGGGTGATAACGCCCCCTTGTGGGTGCTAGAGGCTTTCAGGGGGCAGTAGAAGGCTCAGTGATTAAATATAAGTTTTATTTCTTCTCATTGAAACATTCTTTGATCTCAGAAATAGGATATGAGTCACACCCTATCTATCTTATCCATATAATAATAATAATAATAATAATAAAGGAGGAGGAAGGGCTGTCTGCTTTTGCAAACTTAGCCCACTACGAAGAGAAAGGAGTGAAGAAAGGGTTGAAGGAAGGGTTCTGAAGGGAGAAGTATAAAGGAAAAGAGGAAAAGTAATGCTGAAAAAAGTTATTAGGACCTCAGAGCGCTGCATCGGAAATTATTAATAACCAAAATTACAAAAGTTGACAAGACCGTTATACAGTATTAACAATTACGAGGAATGGTCCGGTTACAGTAAAATGTAAAACCCATTACTTATGGGTAGGTATAAACTAGCCTTGAACACTGCAATGTCACAATAACATTAAGAACAGATTACAATTTTAACACTTAGAGAGAATGTAAATATCAGCTTACTATGATATAATAATACAGATTACACATAAATGGGAATACATATAAATGGGAATTTTTTTTTTTTAATCTAGAATTTAAAACTAAACTAATACTAGACAACTAAACTATGTACAGAAGAATTCTACACGGCCGATCAATCAATCGCTGATAACATCACTTTTCCGATTTTTCACTGTCTTCCTGCTCATCTTGTCTGTTCTTGTTTTCATTCTCAAGAATTTTTTCTTTCCTGTAGAAGTCTGGCAGAAGAGCCCTGGTGCTTTCAATAAACTTTTCAAAACACTTCCAGAGATTTTTCTTATCAAAAATGTTTTGTAGTGTCGGTGGCCAATTATGACCTTCTTGAATGCATTCCATGTAGAATGGAATGCGTTGATCCTCATATCGTTCACAGTGGAATATAAAATGAATGGCATCTCCTACACTATTATTGTCGCACTGGCATTTATTAGTGTTTCTCTTCTTAAAGTGGTAGAGATAGGCCATAAAATTGCCGTGCCCCGTTAAACATTGGGTGGTTTCGGATCTAGGTTTGTAGTAATTAGCCTTGATGCGATTAGTATTAGAGGGAATAAACTGGTGGCAAAGTCTCCCTGTTGTAGAATCTTGTTTAAACATTATATTTGCAATAACTGTTTTTAAGATACCTTTTTACATTACCATCTGTTGTGTAAATTAAAAAATATGGGGGCACTAGATTTTTTTTAATCTCAAAGTGGGTGGTGGTTGAAATAAGTTTGAGAACCTGTGATTTACAATAATAAAATAATATATTCTTAATCATGACCATTTTAAAAACTATCAATCAAGTCTCGGAATATTTTTTATAATATAGTAGTTTTGTATGTTGTTTGAAGTTTAGAGTGTTAATGAATACTAAAATATTATTTGGGTGATTTTGAAATAGTTTGAGGGCCAAACAACAACATATGATTTGTTAAATTAAATAAAAATTGAACAGGCTACAAGCTATTCAGTTCATTCCCAATGTTACAAACTAAAAAAGTTTTTAATTATTGAGAAAAATTATTGACCATTTATCAAAACATATAAATTGAACTCTTTACACACAAATTTTGAGATAAGATTAGTTCTGACATATTTGATTAAAAGAAAAAAAGGATGAATGAATATACCATTTCAGATAGTCTACATTTGTTATTTTAATATTTAAAAATTATTGAAATTTTTCCATTGAAAATAGGAGATTCTTGGAAGTTATGTACAAATCAAAAATTTTCTTTATTGTCACCAAATATTTGTTGACTGATTTTTACTGTAAAGTCTCTGTTTGACATTCTTTTTTGAACACATTCTAGAATAATAGAGAGGTTGCAGCTGACATTTTCATCATGAAAACGTATATGTCAGATGTTCAGCGCTGCCTTCCTGTGAGCCTAGAAGTTTGACAATAGCGTTTGGAATGTCAGTGGAATCATGCTCGATGTATCAAACACCATTGTCAAACTTCTAGGCTTACAGGAAGGCGGCACTGAATGTCCTATGTACATGTTTTTGCGATGAAAATGTCGGCTGCGATCTCTCTATTCTTTACATTTTTTGTTCTATATATTTCTATTTTATATTATATTTTCATATTTTTTATGTTCTATAATCTAAAACATAATATTAAAAAAACATAAAAGTTATTTTAATATATTTACCTATAATCAATATTTAAAGATGATATTACAATTTAATTTAGTTGTATCTTATTATTTTGAACTAGACTTCATGTTAACAAAGTTAAAAGTTTGAGTAAGTACCAATCTGTTTATGTGAAACCAAGGGGTATTATTGACTATTGATGATATGTTAAATTGTGATGATAATTTTATAAGATATAATTAATATTTAAATAAATTAAGATACTTATTATAAGTGATGATTGTATAGGATTATTCCAAACAAACATACTGCAATTAATAATCTGTTAAATTAACAAGTTGTGCTGATGAGTTCTACCTAAATTTAATTTAGAAATTTAGCTAGAACTGATTATTCTCCTATGTCAAATATGATTAATAAAGTCTGCAGAATTAATGAATAATGATCAATTATGAACCCAAATTTCTAATTAAAATCATTTAATCATAATTTAGTAGATTATTAATTGACAATATCTTCTATTCTGAATACTGGTATTTTGAACAATCTCGTACTCACTTGTTTAACCTTTACTTTCTGGTACTGCTTAAACTTTGTAAAACAAACGTTTTTTGCCTCACTTGAGGTTTGCTTCAGGTTTAAGCAGTACTGGAAAGTAAAGGAAAGGAAAATGTCAAATAGTATAATTTAGACAAATCAAAATAAATAACTATTACAAACAATAATTTTGTACGAGGGTGTATGAGATTATTGTTTGTTTTATACTATTTGACATTATTACTAAATTATACTATTTGACATTATCTTCTAATATTGATGAATTTACCAAAATATGTACATCAAATTAATGTAATTTAAAAGTGAATCATAATGTTTGGCTCACTTATGTAAATATTCATTAATCTGATTATATATGCAACTTATAAGATTATAAAGTGATTTTTGATTTTTTATTGAATATTTTTGGATCAGCTACTCATTTATTACAGTAAAACAAATAAATCTCTTAATGTTTATTTCATTTTGAATATTAGAGAACTTATTTTATCTAACAATGAATGATATATTTATTAAATAAATTTGTAATTATTTACATTTTTATATACAGTTTTCATTTATATAATTTTATATGGAATACTTATATCTTAATGAATACTATAAATATAACATTTAATTGTGAAATTCTATATACATCTTTTTTACTTTTAACAGACTTTTTGAAGAAAGTTTATTTCCTGATGTACTTATTGCTGTAAATGATAAATATTTTACTTCTAATGACATTGAAAATATATGTGAATTAACAAAAAAAGAGCATCTAAGTCTAATAAAAGCACATAAGGCTATTTTAAAAGTCAGAGTTCCTGCATTATATAATGAACTGTGCAAAAATGAAGTAAAAGTTCATGATAATAAAGCATTTAAATCATTTATTGGAAAAACACATTTATTGTCTTTACTGAGGTAAGTATAATTAAATCATTAATTTTTTAATAAATAAATAAATTACATTCTATAAATTTCTCTGGAGATTATTTGTTAATTTAAAGTTTTCAAAGCCTTAGTATAAAATGTAATCAAAATTGTATATTCATCGTAACTTATATAAATTGCTAAGTAAATTATAGAAAGATTGAGTATGAATAATTTAAAACAAAATTATATATAGAAAAAATAACAAAACAAAATTAACTATTGTAGTCTAACAGAAATTAGACTTAATAGTAATTAATATTAAATTGTAATAATTTTCAATTTTATAATAAGTTTACAGTTTATTTTCAGAGTAGAATTGTGTTTTTTATTTTTTAAAGTAAATATGTATATTTTAAAATATTAATTATGTAAATTGCTTACCACAGTGCTAAGAAGTTCTTTTTATATTAAAATTTTACAAGTATTAAATGTTAGAAATAAAATAAAAATTTTTATTATTTTGTAATTTTTGTAAAAAATAGATACATTTAAAACAGATAAAGAAAGCATATTGATTTACTCCAACTATATTTGTATTTTCTATATCCTTACGTTGTATTGAAGCAGTGAAGAGTTTCAGAAATAATTCTAAGATAAAATAAATGTTATAAAGCCAATAATAGGACTACTAAACTGTAATGGTAGCAATATAAGATTTTAAGTCGTCATGAGACAAAAGAAAAATAATCTGTTCTCTTCTAAACTCAAGAGTTATTTCTGGTGAAATTCATTTTTGTTAAAATAAAAAACTATGTAATCAGACCAACTTTCAATTAAAAATATTAAGAATTATTTAATGTAAAATTTATAATGAGTTTTATTTTAATACAAATTTTAAATTTTCAAATACAAGTTGTGTTTGATTCCATTTTTGCTATAGTTTTCTAGAATTTTGCCTGAAGACAACATTCTATGCTTTTTATTAAGCAGTATTGTTGTAATAAATATATCACATAGACAGTTGAATAATATATGATACTTTACAAATCTCATTTATATTTATTTAAATAATTATTTATAAAACTGTTCTTTTATTTTTGTATGATATGTAAAATATTAATTTTCATAAATTTTAATGCATTGTTATGAGATTCTAAAATTTCTACAGTAGAACCTCGATTATCCGCCCTAATTGGGGACTGGGGTTGGTCGGATAATTGAAAAGTCGGATAACCGAAAAGTATGAAAAAATCCATTATTAGTGTAGTATATTATTATATCCCATGTAATTAGTATATTAGTATATCGCTATTAACCTACTTTGCGTTGAATTTTCATCGATGTTAAGCCTAACAAAAATTTTTTAAAATAATAATCGTCGCTATTGTATCGTTAAAAATTAGAAAATTAAGCTTCGTTTAAATACTGGCTCCCTTTCATGGTCGAATGAGTGTTGCCAGCTAAAACACGTAAAAATAATATTAAAGTAGCCAAGACATAGCCAAATATTGTAGCGCCACATCACTAGCGGACATTTGAAATTTGCCGACTAGGACGGTCGGTTGATCGGGGGGCGGATAATCGAGGTTCTACTGTATATATATATATATAAAAGTATTCATAGTTATAATTAAACTTATTTTCAGTGTTAAGTAGAATAGGATGTAATGAACAGATTGTTTTTTAACTCATTCCCTTCTCCCTTCTTTGTGGGCACTAAGTGGGTCTTTTTTTAATTAATTCCATTATGGATTTTGCTAAGTGCAAAGTAAGATATCTAGTAGTACTAAATCTTCTCAAAGCTGGTTATATAGTAAATAACTCCTACAAACTTCTATAATTAAACCAGCAAATAAAGTTTTTAATATATTTTGACAAGTGTTTTCAATCCCAATTTGGATTGAAAGCATAGTAGGATGCTAGGTGATGAAAGACAGAGTTTAACATTTCCAGGTTAGACCCCATGAAAAATTTTTTGTCGTTTTTGTACATGTCCAGATTCAGTCCTAGGCCACTCAGAGTGGTAGGCTGATACCTTAACTGCTTAGACATCTGACCCAGTGAACAGGATACTGTGAAATCTTGAAAATTTTCTCCAGAATGTGTATAGAACATTTTAGTGAAAGGAGAAATCCAAGTCAGTTTCAATTAATTATTCAAGGAGAAGTAATACAATTATATTTGCTGATTTGCAAATGACAGAGTAACTGTGTAAGTTATGTGCAAACTTTTCAACTGTACAAAGACAGCTGAAAATTTTGCACATAACTTATATTAGATTTTACTTTTCATAGTGCTTCATTACCAAAATAATAACAATAATAATAATAGCTTGTAGCTTTTCAGTAATATTAATGAATTCAGAATACAGTAGAGCGTCGATTATCCGAATCAATTGGGAACTGGGGTTGTTCGGAAGATTGATGTTTCGGATAACCGATTATGTGCAAAAAAATATATTAATTTATCCCATCTTGACATTTTTCTCCGTTGTGTGTCGCTTTGCGTTGAATTTTCGTCGATGTTAAGCCTAACGAAGACTATTGTATAGTTAAAAATTATTTTTTTATTTTATACAAACAAAATAAATATATTGAAAAATATAAAAACAATAAAAAATTATACTTCAGAAGTTAATTTAGTATCAAAAACGTAAAATATTTGAGTAGCCCAACACATAGCCAAAGATTGCAGCACCACAGCACTGGCAAAAATTTAAATTTGCAGACTGGAATTCTTTCAGATGATTGATGTTTCGAATGATTGACTTTCGGATAATCGACACTCTACTGTAAATTATTATATTAGCTTTCTTTATCTCTCTTTTTGCTCAACTTATCACACTATATTAAATTAAGATATGTTGGAAGAGATACCACTCATGTTGTACTGTACATCATTTTTCTCATGATGATCAACAATGAAATTTTTAAGTTTTTTCACAAAATTATTTTATTTGGAAAATATAAATTTCATTGTAGTTCAATCATTAATCAATCATTAAATCCTAGCCATCATTAAATATAAGGACTATTAATTGTAACATCTAAAAAAGAGATATTCAAAATGCAGAGTACAGTGTATGTTTTTGTGCAATGTAAAGATGTCCAAACTTAATGAATTTTGAAATTTATGTTTATAAAAAGATTGAAATTTATTTAATTTTCAGCAATATTTAGTTAGTGTGACTAGTTAGTAGCAATATTTAGTAGACATAAATTTTATTTTTTATGTCATATATTTTTACATATAATCTATCTCCTTCTCAATAAGTAGTGGCAGTTTTATAATTATGATGAAATAGACTTACTAGAAACTGTACAATGAATTAACTGTAACTTATAATAAGTTTAAAAAAACATTAAAAGCTATTATTATTATTATATATTGATTTATTTATAATTGAGCTATTATTAAATTATGTTGCAATATTTTGGTTATAGTATTAAAATATTAATAAATGAATTGATTGTAGAGTAATAATTTATAAGTGAAAGAATATTGTTAAAATTATTATAAAAAATTATATTAAAAGTTACATTATTAGCTTCATTAGAAAATTTATTACCAGAATTATTATTATATTTAATTGATAAAAATCTATAATCTTTTAAGGAAAGTGTATACTGAAGATGATATAAGGAAAAGTGAATGTGAAGCCGTACGATTAGGAAAAATACTAATTGAATTGGCAAATGAACAATCAAAAACAACAGTAAATAATCAATTAGATTCATCTTCTGTTAAAGATGAAGGTGATAAAGGATGTAACAATGAATTGTTTGTAACCCCCACAACCAGTCCTTTATCTCCTGAAAAGAAAAAAGATATTGCTCGCATTTTTCAAGAACATGAATTATACTCTTCTAAAACACAAATGGAAGACATTAAAACAAACAACTCCAATAAAGAAGAAAAGAGCAGTGTAGAATTAATAACTGAGAAGGAAAACAATAACAATGCTATTATGTTTAGAACTGGGAATACTAAAGAATATGAAAAATCTGTAAAAAATTTTATATTGCCATTAGATGATCAGGTATGTCAAACTCAAGATTACAATGTGGATTGCAATAAAAATTCTCATGTCGCTAATACTCCTGCAACAACAAGTTCAGATTCTCCAAGTAGTGGAATGGTACGAAGTGGTACATTTGATTTGCAAGCTCAGTTGCCTCTTGAAGAAACATTAAATTCTGAATCTCAACCATGGAATTCTCAGGAAAATGATACATCTCTAAATAAAACATCCGATGATGAAAATATGATTTCTGAAGAATTATTTCATACAAGAAAACAAGATGCTATGAAATCATTTTTTCTTCACCGAAATCCTCAATTACTGAAAGGAGAACATTTTCAGGATTCCACTCAAAATGAACAAGTTAGAAATATGGAACAAGAATCTGCAACTGGAACAAATTCACCAGGAAGAAGGTTGGATGCAAGTATTATGAGTGATTCTGGATTTATGTCTCAAAGTACATTCAGTTTGGTTTCTGAAGCGGGATTACAATGTTCATTATCATCTCTTGTTACATCATTTGATGGTAGTTCAAATTGTTCTTCTGCACAAGGAAAAAGATCTGAAGATTTACCTAATTCTAATAAAAATCATAAAAGATCTAGTTCAATGTTTCCTTTTTATATTGATATTGATAATCTTACGCCAGAAGTCGCTAATCCAAAATTGCCACAGCAACCATCTAGTCAGCGATCACAGTCAGTTTACATGTATATTGATGCAAGTAAAAATGAGGATAAAGAAGAAATGAGAAAAACTTCATTGCAAGAAGAATTTTACCAGGGAAATTTTTCTCCTTTTTTCCAGGAAAAAGCTTATGAACCAGTAGAAACTAGTAATTTCTTGTATAATAAATTAGTTAAAGTAAATTCATTTCCTCAACTCTCTAAAACTCTTGTTAAAAGTTCAAACACATTAACAGAAAATTCTGAAACATATATTAAGAAAAGACCACAATCTTGTTATATGTTTATAGATTTAGAATCTATTGATGCAGAAAGTGAACAAGAAGATAGTAAATCTTTAAAAAAGGAAAATGCAAATAAAACACAATCAATTTCAATGTTTATAGATTTAAATAAAGATATGAATGAAAGTGTATTATCTGCTCAGCAAACGTATAGTGAAAAAGTGAAAAAAGAAGAAAAATTCGATATAAATGACATTATAGATATTAAAAAGAATACTAGTAACAATTTAGACTTGTTAAAATCATCTGAATTAACTGATGATAATGACAATGATTATGATTTACAATCAAAGAAAGAATCTGAAGAATCAAAAGTAAAAAAAGGTACCGTTTCTTGTAAAAGTTTATGTTCAAACATTTTGACAAATATTTTGGATTCATTAAATACAGATTTATTTAAAAGTGATAAAATGCATCAAGGGAAAGATAACAAAAATAAATTAATTAAAGAAAATGTATCAAATGATGAGAAAATAGAAAATAAGCAGAATAAAACAGTATCTTCAGATAAGCAAACAAATATTCAAAAATCTGATTCTCCAAGTAAAACACTCAAAAATCAGACAAATGCAGAAGTTTATGTAAAGAAAGAATGTAATGTTACAGATCAAGGAGAAGGTCTTCTTCCTATGAGTCCAATTCTTCGAAGAAAAGAACCAAAAAAAGAGCCTCCTAAACCTCCTGTTCAACCTGTTGTGGTAAAAGCATCAACAAGACCACAAGATGTAAGTGCTATGACATTTCGTAGACCAGAAAGCGAGGAGGAATCTCAAATTAAAAAATTTCAAGAAACTGATGAACAACAAAGCAACAGCAGGTTTAGTTCTCCACATAAAGTACAAAAACCTGTTGGACAAATTAAACAAGTTACAGGCATTGAAACACCAAAAGTAACATTGGAGACGAAAGTTTCTGGACGAAGTGAAGCAAGTTCACAACCAAAACAGGTTTCACAAGCAGACCTTTCAGAGTCAGTTACATCCAGTATTGAAAGTAGTATTATGTCTTCAGATAAACAATCTGTATCTGATGTTTTAAAAGAGAGACAATTATTATCACCGCCATCATGGTCTGGAGAAATAGATGATGACTCAGAAACTATTTATTCTGAAGTATCTGATATTAGTTCTTCATTTCTTGGAGCTCTAAGCAATAGTTCTGGTCATGGAAAACGATCTAAAGAAAATCAGAGTCCAGAACTTGAAAGTATTTTAGGTGGATCAGTATCACATAGAAAGTTTCAGGCATGTTCTAAATTAGGAGAAGATCTATTAAAAATGTTTACAGAGGAAATTGATTCAGATATAATAGTTCAAGTTCAAGATAAAGAAATAAAAGCACATAGGTAAGAACCTGTATATATATATATATATATATATAAATATACAGAAACATATACCTTCGCTTCATTTTATAGAANCATATATATATATTTTTTTATTTTTATTTTTTAGTAAACAAATAATAGAAAATATCTGTATTGCATTGAAAGTTTATGAATAACAAATTTTCTTTCATAAATACTTTTAGAAATTTAAGTATTTTAGAAGCTTAAATCCTTGGCTTTTTTTTCCAGCCAGAATTCCGCTCAGAAAATTTTTAATTAATTGATTTTTTTATTAAATAATTATTTCCTTAATAATACTTTTTAAAGTTATTTAACAATAATCTCACTGATATCTGAACCAAAACAAGTAAAAAGTAAAACAAATATGTGAATGAATAAATACTTTTTATTAATTCTTGTTGAACTGTTTTTACAGTAAAAGAATTTAAAGGTTTAATATTCCATATATAATCAAGTATATTAGTACTGGTATATATAATATAATCTAAATTACTGTATATATATGTATGTATTTTTGCATCAGGAATCAAAAATAAACTGGACTTTTAATATAATTATTCTGTTAATGTGTAAGTATTTATAGATGACCATCTTCAAAACAAATATCATATGCAGCTATACACTTCTACTAAAGTTTATTCCACTTCTGAGAGATGGTATTGTAAAGGTTTGTGGGTATATCCTTGATTTTTCCAGCAAGTCAGCTTTATCTCTGTTATTGCATAAAAGCCTATGTAAAATAGGTTTGGGAGCCAGTGGAACTTCCCAACTTACCTTACACCACTTATTAAATAATCAAAATAATTATTTAAAACAATGGAGTCAGATTATTTATCCAATTCTTACTTAATTGTATTGTAGAGAAATACACAAAAAAATCAATTTTTCTTTCTTTCTGAGTTACGGAGGGTAGATAACTTCAAAATTCTAAAACATCATATCAATAATGAATAAAAATTAAAAAGATAAAAGTAAACCCACTTTACAGAGAAAAATACTTTATTACTTTGTTAAGTCCCCTAACTGCATTTTGCCAAAAATATTAGGCTTCCTCAGTAAGGTTTCTAGCATACATTTCAATATTCCATCATCAATCAGCAAGTTACTTCTGAAATTATCGTTGTCATATTGTCTTATGATACCTGAATGACCAAAGTGGCTGGAATGCTTAATAAATCAAAAGAAGTTAATGTTGTACAATCATTAGCACAGCCAGAAATAAAAGCTTAGAGAAATGTACTGCTTAATAAGCAGTATATTTATCTAAGCATATAATTTAGTGTACTAGTTTGTTTTGTTGGTAGTAGATCTGTTTGCTATAGCAGTTGGAAGGTTATTAATAGAGAATGCTCAGAATCTCATCATAGTAGTAAATTCTTTCAAAAATTATGAAATAATTTACTAATATAATGAAATTCTGAAGATAAAGGCAAAGTATGCTCAAAAGCATTTAAGTTATTTTATGATTTCTTGAGATAAATTCTACAGTATTATTTTTTTTAACTATAATTTATAAATACACTTAGTTTTGTTTTTACATGATAGATACGCTCCCAAAAAATCCATCCATGTGAAAAAGATACTGTCTGTATGGAAAAATGGAATATTGGTTCCAGATTTTAAAATCCAATAGAAATGATATGATAAACCAATTAATATAATAGGATGTGTTTAAACAAAATATTTCTATTATAATTAATAAATCAGAAGAGGGACAATTGTAACCTAACAGCAAAATTTAATTAATTTATATTATTTGCAAAATTTTATTTTTATTTCATTTTTTTTAGCTTTTAACACTAAACAGCATACAAAACTTATTCTGTATCAAAAGAAATTGGAATAATCAATTGTATAAACAAATAATCAAAAAGTTGAAATGAAAGGCTTATTGTTGTTATACATGTTTAAATAAGTCATAAAAAAACAGCCAAATCTTAAAATTTACTTGAGTGTGTGTAGCAGCAGATTCTAAGAACTTTTTTAAAGAGTAATATTCTAGATAAAGATTTAAATTCTAAGGAAAAAATATTCATTTTTTTTTAAAAGAATTAAAAATTAAATGGAAATTTATAAGAAGACAGATTTATTGAACAGTATTAGATCAAAACAAATTATGTAATAGAATTGAATTTTTCCAGAATGTGTTAAATCAAAATCATGTAAAAATAACCAATAAATTCTTACTGGAACTAAAACGAAAAATAAAATAATATAAATAACACCTTTTTAACGGTCCAGCAAAAACATTTAATTCTCTAAAAACGTTTTCGACCGATTTTAGCGGCCTTCATCAGTTATTTTAATATTAAAAAGAACAAAGTATTCAAACTTATGCAATACAAAAATAAATAAAATTAAACTGCAATTGTGTAGAACAACAGAAAAATCACCTGTGGGTTATTCAAAAGGGTTAAAAAGGTGTTATTTATATTATTTTATATCATGTAAAAAATCTGTCAACAGAATTGGGTGTACATATTATTGTAGTGTAAGATTTCGTAATGTTTAAAATTAAATTGTCTTTCTTTTAAAATGTGAATATAAAAAATGAAATATGAAAAGAAACATAGAAGTATGTATTGACTCAACACATGAAGTAGATTTTTCCTATATTCACTCTAACTCCAGATTATTAGTGCCTGATAAATAATTTGATATAAAGATTTCCATTTTGAATTATTTTATGTTTATTTTACAAATTGTTTTAAAATTTGAGTTTCAAAATGTGTTAAGTTTACAATTACCATAGATACTTATGCAATTTAAAGAAAACAACAATAAGAATAATTATTAAATTATTTTATTCAATTCAAAAACTGAACATTGTAGATTATATATTTAGTTATATATTTATACATAATATTTGCATGAAAAAAATATATTCCTCTTAATAAAAACATTATTCAATAAACTACCAAAACAAATAGAAAAATGCATTAAATGTTCTTTGAGAAGTTTCTTCTCATCTCAAGGTTTATTCTGGAACTCTTATCTAGGAGTTTCTAGTGAAACTTTTAGATAGTGTTCTGGAGAAGTTTTTATATTTGTGTTATTGATTTTTTTTTACTGAATAATGTTTTTCTAAAGATGGATTTATTAGCAAGGATTTAATATCTAGAGCTAGAAAAAGTTTATAAGTAGAGAAAAACATGTGATTAGAAAATATATCTTTTGTATTGAACATCAGAATATTTATAGATAACAAAAATTAAAATCAAACTGATTTGCTGGAGTTCATCTTCAAAACAGTTTGTTTTATTTTATCTTTTACTTTTTGTTAGTTTTAAAGAATGGAGTTAGTTTTGCATTAATATTTATAGATTTGAATTTTTCAAATTATTTTTTCAAGAATATATCATTTTCAGAAATAATGTCAGAATTTCTTTTGCATAATAATAAATATCAACAAATAAGATTGATATTAATAATATAAGATACTGGTTTTCTTAATTTCCTTAGAGATATAATTATTTTTCTACATAATAGATATTTAAAATATGATCAGAAAACATTTATCTGTGAACAGTTTATCTTTAGCAATAATACAGAATTTAAATAACTTTTTTAGATTTATTTTTGATTTTAAATTTATTTATATTTTCTAATGCAAACATATATTCAATACATTTTTATTTGTTGATTTTTTTTATAACTTAATATTAATCAAATATATATTTTCAAAAATTATAGATGCATTTTAGCAGCTAGATGCAAATATTTTGCTGCTATGTTTAAAGGATCTTGGATTGAAACTGTTGATAAAATAATTAATTTACAAGGGTAAGTATTTATCAAAAGAAGAAATTATAAGAAAAGTATTAATTATCTAAATTTTTCTTATTAATTAATTTTTAAAAATTAATAATTGTATCATTTTTCAGTTTCACCTATCCAGCAGTATATTTTGCTCTGTGTCATATTTATAGTGGGGCAATTAATTTACCACCAGAAGTCAATATAGCTGAAATAGCTTTGTTGGCAGATATGCTACAGTTGGATACTTTAAAAGAAGTTATTGTGTTCCATCTCAAAATGAATTACTGTCACTTCTTTCATAGAGTAAGAACTTGATAGCTGTCAATTTAATTGGATTGTTTATGCTCTGGTTCTTACTACATTTAATTCAAATTAAAGTATTTTACACATCTTGCTTACTATAGTTAAGCAACTATGTTACATTTACTTATTTTGATAAATTTGCTGTATTTTTATTTTCTATCTTTCTTATAAAGAATGTCAGAAAGTGAAAATAAATTAATACCTTAGGTTATTGTGAAGAATAAGAAATAAAAAAATGATAGGGCATAGTAAAACTAGCACAGATCATTCAAGAATGTTAAAATTTATGCAATGCTTTATATTAGAATATGATATGAAGGGTGCAGATATAAAATATTACATAATAACATATACATCAATCACATTCCATTACTAATGCTTAATGAACTGCTGGATTATTCATCTATAACAAGGCTAATTTAATGATTAGATGTAAAGCAGTTTGGCTATAGCCAATTTATATCTAACCATTGAATTTGCCTTGTTACAGTCTGATGAATAATCTAGCAGTTCATTAAACAACCTGAAGCCCAATATATATATATATATAGATACATAGCCAAATGATTGCCTTAAATACTCAGGCTATAAATTTGCTAATTGTAATAATTAATTTACTACTAGAGGTAGACGTTAGGTGCCATCTCTTATCTAAATTAATAATTATAATTTAAATAATTTAGAATAATCTGGAAGAAAAGAACTGACTCGGGGTGGAACTTGAACCCACAACCTCCATTTGCCATGTGATGTGCTTACCAGTTACACCACTTGGACCCTGAGCAAGCCTTTGCTTCCAGATGTATTTAAATTTAGGGTTAATGTTACCTATGGTTCCAAAATGGTGGTGCTTCGGTTAGGTTTGTTTCATTTCCATTAGATTAGCTACATTTTTAGTAGTTTCCTTTTTTTTTTATTTTGTTCAAGAACTACTGTGAATCAATAACTAGCAACATTTGGCACTTGATGGCCTGCCAGCAGCTCCCGTCCAGGAGGAGTCCATCTTGACCACAAACAGTCGCACAGTGGGACCAAATCCTAAAAAAGCTGGCCAAAAGTCGAAAAATAGAGTTTAAGTACCAGTAATTTCTAGTCGTGGGTTAGGTTGGATAATAGTCCGAAGGTCGAATTCTAGACTTTATCGCCCCCTATCCCTTATACCTGCTATTGTAATTCAGTTGAAAGGGGACCCTCAGTCGAGCTAGACACGTCATGCAGTAAGCAAAGATTTCTACGCTATATTCAAGAGGGTGCCAAATCTCTAAAAATCAATCAAATTTAAATTTAAAAAATGGAATCTGCAGCTGCAAGTAAGTAGAATATCATTATGTAACACAAAATTGATAGTAATATTTTATGTGATAACAGTAAATGAATGATTTGTATGAAAATGAACGGGATTACAACAGAAAATTTTAAACATGTAGAGAAAAGTTCATAAATTCTGTAGAGTTCTGTGGCTGGACCGATCGCATGTTGTAGATGGAAGTATTATTGAATGAAAAAAATAAAAACTAGCTGCAACTAGCTGCAATTGTGTCATTGTTGCGAGTTCTTGCAATGTAAAACATAGTTTTCTGAATTTTGTACATTAACGACGCGGAATGTTTTGAATGTTGTTTGCATGTAGGATATAAGCTTGAAATCAAACTGTGGCAAGCGCATGGTGATAAAGAAAATAAACAAATAAGACTCTGAAAAACGAATATAGAGAAGGGTTTCTGTATAGAATTGGGTCTAATAGTCGATCAAACAAAGCCTGGTTTCGGTAGCTTGAATGATGGGAATACCGCTCGACGATTTTTTGAAAACTCAAGCATTTCTGCTGCTATTACAGGGGTTGATGAGGACTTGATTAAGCATTTCCCTGTCATATTGCAGACAATTTTGTGTGGCCATGAAATCGATTTCATAGAATTTCAAGATTATGCCTTACAGACAGCTCTTTACTTTGTGCAGTTATATCCGTGGTTCTGCATGCCAACTTTGGTACATAAGATATTGATTCATGGTGCAGAAGTGATAAATTCATTGGTATTGCTGATAGGGCAGATGTCCGAAGACGCTCAAGAGTCTACTAATAAATACATTAAAAAGTTTCGAGAAGATTTTGCAAGAAAAGTTCCCGAGCGAAAATAATGGAAGACATTATTTTATGCCTATTATTAATATCTGATTCGTTTATTTCGAGTTTGTGTGAATTATCTCAAAAAAAAACTAAGTTGTTGCTTCCAGAAGCAGTTTTATTGTTAGTTGCGCCACGTATACCAGCAAGTACGAGAAGCTTCAGCAATTTCAAAGTTGAATCATCTGATTGTGAATCAAATTATTCTTTGGATGACGATGCATGAACTTTTAATCAACCGATTGTATGTTTAATCGTATTAAACAATATATGGATTTATTTTGTACTTTTTCTATAAAAGTGGTTCGTGTTAAATTTGTCATTTTGTTTTTATTTCAAATTTTGACTTCGGATTCGTAATCAGCGATCCCGAAAATCCTCGAATACTGACTTTCAACAAATTGATAACGCTTTTGACTTTTGGCCAGCTTTTTGGAATTTGGCCCCACTGTGAGTCGGAAGCATGGCCATTTTGGAACCATAGGTAACATTAACCAAATTTAGATTTTATTAGATTTATTAAATAATTTAGAATCATCTAAATCACAGGTTCTCAAACATATTTTGACCACCACCCACTTTGAGATTAAAAAAAAATCTAGTGCCCCCATATTTATTAACTTACCCTTTTACATTACCATCTGTTGCATATCTTAAAAACAGTTATTGCAAATATAATGTTTAAACATGCATTATTATATGGATAGGATAGATAGGGTGTGACCCATATCCTATTTCTGAGATCAAAGAATGTTTTGATGAGAAGAAATAAAACTNGAGAAAGGATGGTCTAAATTATTTAAATTATAATTATTAATTTAGATAAGAGATGGCACCTAACATCTACTTCTAGTAGCAAATTACTTAGTATTAATTATTAAAATTAGCAGACTTATAGCCCAAGTATTTAAGATGATTGTTTGGCTATGAATCTAGCAGTTCATTTGGCATAAAATACTAAAAATAAGATTTTTAAAAGTTTATAAACTTTTCAGTTTTAAAAATTTCAAATGATTATAAATAAATGCTAGTTTAAATTTATTATTAGATATGAATAATACTGAAATAAATTAATAATTTTAATGGATCAGTTTAAATTTAAATACAATATGACAAGAAATAGACAATTATAAATGTAGGAAATTGTGCATGAAAACAAAAAGAACATTAAACATATAACATACTGAATTTAACTGCTAATAAATAATGCATTGGGAAATTATATGTTTAATATGATTTCTATGCTTCAGAATCCACCATTCTAGAAAAATCTTAAAGATTACAATATATATCTATGATGAAAAAAATATTATTAACTCTTTGAAAGAAAAAATGGATAACTTTTCCTCGTTCTTCCAAAGCAATGATAGGATTTGTTTCATGTATTTGGCAGTTGTGGTAAGAAAACTGTAATGGAAGTGCTTGCTTTTGTTATTGTCAAGATATCTCTATCAGGAATTGTCAGATCCAGATCATGTGATAGTTAATTTCACAAAAGTCTGTTCTGTTAAAAATAATGCTGATCTTGATCTCAATCTGATGTTTAAACATTATTTAAGTATTGTTAAATTTGTGAAATATCATCTTTTATGACATGTTTTACCAAAGTTTTTGCCTACTAAGGTTTATGTTCTGTCTATATACTGTACATCATGAGTATAGAAAAACATATCATTTATAGTGTTTGTGTTAAAAATATAAATTTTTCTTTATTTTGAAAACTGTTTAAAAAAAAACTCTAAAATGGCATTATGATTTTACATTGCAATTTCATAAGCAGTTCTATTACCTTGATAACACAATATTAACATATTTTTAATACAGTTTATTTATTGTCATATTGTGAATGAATACATATTTAAAAAGTAACTGTTTGATATTGGTTATGAGTAATGCTTTGATTTCATCTAATGATGATTTTGAACATTTGTATAATAACTAAAAACGTCTTTGCATAATATGAAATGCGTAACATAAAATAATAGTCTGTTCAAGCCATATTCAATACAAAAAGTGTTTAGAAGAAAGTGTTCAACATTTTTACAATCTTTAATGATGGTAAGATACTAGAAAAACCTTAGAGATATCTATATAAAAAAGTTTAAAGAATATATGATTGCAAGATATCATGAATAGAACATTTAGAATTTTAGATATTACATTCTATGAGTTACTATTCATTATTTTGATAGATGTAGATAAGTTTTCTGTATTTTAATGAATCTAAGTAATAAATGCACTAAATATTGGATAATATACAAAAGATTTACACAACCAAAAATCCAGCTCATGAAACATAAAGATAGAAAAAAATGAATGCTTTCAATTGCTAAAAGCAATTGAAAGCATTCATTTTTTTCTATCTTTATGTTTTTCTATCTTTATGATTCTGAAATATATTTCAGAATAGAACATATGATAGAATGTAATAATTTAAAATATAAAATAAATGTTTGATTTGCCATTAGATGTCACATATTAGTACATGTTTGTATTGGGATGCAAATATCTAGATGTAAAAGTAATATTAAATATCCAATGAAACCTTCCAAGCTGGGGATAACATGTTGTTTTCCTTATAGTAGATAGCCATGTTGTTTCTACTGGCCTTGTATATTTTCAGCAATTCCAGGTACTTAAATAGAGGAGGCTTCTGTGTGTGGTGAATGAGACATGCATTTTCGATGTTCATCTGCACATCCTTGTCTAAGGCATATGTGGCTAACTAAAGCTGTAGTAGTTTGCCTTTCATTAATTGAAATGTGAAATAATGTTCTTGCAGATATTGTTTTAATGGATGTATTGTAGTCCCGATGTATTGTAGGTGTTGGCTGTCTCTGTTTGTTGTCCTGAAGTAATATGGAGTATACTCCGAGAAGGAATGTCTTATTATGAGGGTCTTTGGTGTTTCTAAGAAACATATAGATGGTGGGGTTCCTTTTGTAGACCAAGGAGAGGTCATCTCCTGCTACTTCTTGGTATATAGCCATCAGGGTCTTGTTATACTGCACAACCTTGAATTTATGTTCTGCCTTTCCCATAATTTGGTCATGCTCTCCATAATTGTTCACTAAACTTTTTATTAATCTAGGCAAGTATCCATGCTGGATAGCCAACTGTTTTATGTAATGCAATTTATGAGTTTTCTCCTTGAAAGTGGAAGTGTGTGTGAATGCTTTTTTTACTAAGGCTCTAAAAGCTGCAACCTAATATTTGAAGGGATCATATGAGGAGGATGGGATGAAAATTGGATTGTATGTGGGTTTGAGGTATACCGAGGTGTAAATTCTACCATCCTGTATGCATAAGTTCATATTTAGGAAATGTGCAACAGAGGTATGATGCTGTTCCATGCATAAGTGGAAGCCAAAGGATTATTGTTGAAAGCATTCAGAAAAACATCAACGTTTAGTTTATGATGCAAAATAATTAGTAGATCATCAGTATATCTGGAATATAGGGTGATGTCATGCTCATAGGATGGAAGAACCTGATTTTCCAGTTATCTGAACCAGTTGCTTAACTACATATTCAGCGCCCTGGAGCAAGTAGAATCGGTATGCCCCTTTCTTCCTCGGAAGAGGTCTCGCAAAATTTATTTTCAACATTTACTTTAAAAACATATACAGTATCTAATTATTTCAATTTAAAACCTTAATAACAATTTGAGATTCAAGGCATTTCAACAATGAGATATTCAATTTAATAAATTTAATAAATATAAATATAATAATAAAACAAAATATTATTCTTTAAGTATGGACTACCTAATAATATTTACTACATAGTATATAAACTGTATTGACAAAATGTATGCAAGTTTAGTTTTATAACAAATACATAATAATTCATAAAAAAAACTTCAAGATTGACTGATTTGCAAACAAAAAAAGTGAGAAAACAACAATCACTTTCTCCAGATCAAGTTGACAAGCTATTGTTTTTTCAATTGATATAGTAGCCAGAGCTAAGATGGTGTTGGGACATGCTGCTTCTTAAATAAGTTTTGAATAATTTTAGTTTTGAAAAACTTCGTTCTGCTGTCACTGTTGTCGTCTGTAAAGTTAAAAACCTGAGGCATGCTGCAGTGTGAATTAAAAGTAGTTTGGCAACTTTGCTTATACAAGTAATTTCCTTTATCTGACTACAAAAACACTTCAAATCGAAGCAGTTGAGGTCCAAAACTAGATGAAATGTCGGTGGCATATGCAATTGTAACAATTCTGACCCTTCTGGAATATTTTTATCAGGTGACGTGACAAGATAGGCAGGTGATAAGCACTTAAAAGTGTACAAAATTGTCGAACGGATTCAAATCTAATAGATAATCGATTAATTATTAAACCCAAAAAATTTTTCCAAATATTTTTGCAAGTTTTTATTTTGCCCTTTCTAACTTGGTGCCCTCATGATTCATGTGTCTGGAGTAGTTTGCTCCAACTGCTCCATGGTAGCTACACTTCTGACCTGAACATTAATTCACAAAGTGTCCCAAAAAGGGGCTTCCAATAGGCACTCCTCTGCACTGCAGGTAAACCACCTCCTCAAACTGGAAGAAGGAGGAGTAGCAAGTTAAGTTGGTCAAGTCTAAAATATTAGTATGGAAGTTGTCATTTTTACCTATATGCCATATATGCCTTAGACAAGGATGGACAGACAGACAAACTATTTTTTATTCACCCGACACTGCTGAGCACAGTCGGAAGAATGTACATGAGTTACACAGTCGACACATGCCGAACGTAAAAAATAAACTGACATAAAAAAACTATTATTAAAAAAAACAAAGCAAAGCAAAATATCGCATATGTACAAAGAAGGAAAGGAGAGAAAAAAAAACAAGATGTACCATAAAATTAGTGTATTAGAGTCCTATTGATGTAAAGTTTGGTCATGATGTTAAAAAGATCGAAGTAACTTTGACTGGATATTAGTAATTCAAGTTTGCATGGCCAGTTATGGTTGTCCTCTTCCATTTGCAGTTTAAGTGTGTGCCTGATATTTTCCAACATTGGGCAGGACAGAAGATAATGTCTCACTCCATCCTGCACACTGCAGATTGGACAGCAATTCGTGTCACTGTGATGAAAACGGTTCAAGTATACATTAAATCGCCCATGTTTGGTTATCATCTGCAAGATCTGGTGTTGTGGATGAAACCACTTCCATGTAAGGTGCCTTGAAAGACAAGGATGTGCAGATGAACATCAATAATGCAATCTCATTCACCATACACAGAAGCCTCCTCTACTTAAGTACCTGGAAATGCTGGAAATATACAAGGCCAGTAGAAACAACATGGCTATCTATAATATTACAAGGAAAACAACATGTTATTCCGAGCTTGGAGGGTGTTATTGGGTATTTAATATTACTTTTACATTTAGATATTTGCATCCCAATACAAACATGTTTTAATATGTGACATCTGATGGCAAATCAGATGTTTGTTTTATATTTTAAATTATTATATACCATTATATATTCTATTCTAATATATATGTTTCCAAATAAGTTCTTTAACTTGAGGATGATTGCTAAAAGCAATTGAAAATTTTCATTTTTCTCCATTATTGTGTTTAACAAGTTGATTGGTTGTGTCTTTTAATGAATCTGTGATATATTTTTCATTACTGTTTTACTGTATATTTAGAAGTGTGTACATAATAAGTTAACAGCATTTACTTGTCATTAATAATAATTCATTGCTTTGACTTTTTTTATATATTTTGCTAACTTTGAATTTATTAGTGAATTTCTAAATGTTTAATTCTTGTGGAACATTTCTTTGTAAATTGGCCTAGATAATGTTCTATAAATAGTACAAAATTAATAAATAATAAAAATCTATTACTTCTCTCTTAAGCAATTCATATTATGCAATAAACTTAAAGATTTGAAGAAGTATATATTGTAAACTTAAAGATAAAATTTAAGAAATTTTATTTATGAAACAATTTAATTTGGATTAAATGTAGAAAGTTAGAAGAATTTAAGTTTTAAACAATAAGATTCTCTTCATTCTAATAATAAAATTAATCATGTAAGATGTAAAATTAAGATGTAAAATATAATTAAGCAAGATAACTTTTGCAAAACTCAATTTATAAATCAAACAGATTTAGAACTGTATTAACTTTTTTTTATAAGTTTTGTAATTGTGATTTATATTTTATTTAGCCATGTAATCAATGCATCCAAGGTGTTGTTGAATGTCTACATTTAGCTATTTCATGTGGTTTGAATGAGTTATACGAGAAATGCATACGTTGGTTAGGAAAATATTTTACTAGGACTTGGCCCAACAAAAGCTTTGCAGCTCTTCCAGAAGAAATAAGAGAAGAATGTTATCAAAATACCTTACCTAATTTAGTATGTTACTAAATCTTTATTTTGAATAAATTTAAACATAAAAAATGAAAATTTAAAAGTTGATTTTTTATCTCTTTTAGAATGTAAATAATTTGATTGACACAATACTTTGTTGTGATCGATTGATAACTACTCTTTCTCATGTAAAATGGACAGAACCAGTTTATGAGATGGTGACACGACTTCTTCAAGACTGTATATTTTTCATGGCACTTAATTTTGATCAAATGCTAACCTGTGATGGGTTTTTAGCTCTAGGAAAGGTAAAATAAATTATTATTTTTATTGTAAGCAATGAAATTTAAAATTAGTTTCTAAAATGAGAATTTTTTGTAAAAATTTCAATAATGATTAAAAATTAATAAGTAAAAATTGAAATTTAATTGTTTTCACGAAAAAAATGAAAAAAATTCTAGACAAACTCTAGAGTATTAATAGAACTTTTAGTTCATAAAGTTTATCAGATATATTACTTTTATACATTATTATCAAGCACAATGACTTACAATTGACAAAGAAAGCACATCAAAAACTTTAGATAAGAATTATTAATTGAAATGTCTTCATTATTTTTAAATGTTATTAAAAAAATTATATGATATTAAGTTTTACTGCTGAATAATAGAAGTTAGAATATATAATCAATCAATCAATCAATCAATGAACTTTTTATAATTTAAGGAATAATCTTGTTACATAAAGGTGATAATCTTTACCATTATAACAATCAAAATAAAATATAAGTAATTTTTCATATTAACATTCATTATTTGATATTTAACATAATTCTAAAAAAATTATATTATTTATACATAATTTTTTATATACTGTATTTGCTTAATATTAAAAATACCAATTTAATGATGATAAGTTTATTACTGAAAACTATATAAATATATAACTATATATAATTTATATAAATAT